AACAGGACTTGAAAGACGTCATATGGGAAGATGTACAGGTATTTTATTATTTGTTTGCAAGTATATATGATCATTTATTTTTTGTTTAATATTAATAACATCTCTATTATATAAACATAGGAAGTATTCATTGTTAGTCTAAATGATAATAATGTGAAAAACAAGATGCTTACTTATTATGGTGAACATTGCAGAGGCTTTAAGACACAATTCACCCATGGTTATATTTGTGAGATGTTGGATCAAACTCTAGTATGGTCGAAGGGTAACTTCTTATTCGACAGGAATTAAGCATGAGGTCGAAGTCTGTTCGCATGCTATTGTCGGAGTAATGCGTATTGTAGTCGAAGTTTGTTCTAACATGCATTAGTCAATATTTCTAGGGTTGTTAGCATGTTGAATTGGGTCTTGCTTGTAAGTCCAATTGTTTAAGTTAGCTTGTATCTTAAGTTAGCTTGTAATGGGTAATTGTTATAAAACCCATTAGGTTAGTGTGTTATTTTACTTATAAATAGGATACTAGTTTCTCAATCTTGGCATAAGGAAAAATAGGAAGATAAAATCCTAATTTCGAGAGAGAGAGAGAGAGAGAGAGAGAGAGAGAGAGAGAGAGAGAGAGAGAGAGAGAGAGAGAGAGAAGTTATATTGTTATTCTTGTATACTTGTAATATTGTTCTAAGAGTAAGGAAAGAATAGCAGTTTATAACCAACCTTTCTTGTTCCTTATTGTTTTACCTTCTTTTCTTTGTTAACCCTAACCCTTGTGTGTTTCTTGATCATAAAGAAACCATTTATACTTTGTTTAAAGATATCTGATTCACAACAAATTGGTGCGATGAGCGTGGAGAAGATGCCTTCAACAAAGTATGAGATTGAAAAGTTCACCGGAGTGAACGACTTCACTATAGGTTCATGCTTCTTCTTCTTCAACAAGATATTTTTTTCTGAGTGATTTCTCAAGTCTCTTAACTTCTGAACCACATCTTCATTTCTTCCAAAAGGTCCTTTTATATCCTATTGTCATTGTATCATGGGTCTTGTGAATATTCATTATTTTGGCACAAGAAAATCATCATACTTTTTTCTCCCCTCCCTCATCATGTAGTACAACTCAGCGTGCAAGGGACAAAATGTCTTGTGGCATGTTTATTACGCACACAGACAAGCAATGCGCGGAATTTAGTTTTCAACAACTTTTGCAGGTTTTTGCCCTTTAGTGTTTGATCTTATCCATCCAGTTTTCCAGCTCATTTGTGCTTCATTCTCCAAACTTATTACATGTTTTCCCTAATGTTAAGGACCTTTAGTCCTTTCAGCATCTTCTAAATTTCAGGCCTGCAGAGAAGTAAGGTTGAATTTATGCTTCATTCCTATCGTGCCAGAACTTATCATCTCAGCAGTCTTACACAAGTGACAAACACATAAAAATCACAAAAGAGGGTACTTAATGTGTTATACACAAATTGAACTAAAATAGAGAAATATATTTAAATAACATAATAAAGCTTATTAACTAAGAAGTAAAGTCAATTAATAGGGGCTTGACTCTCAAAAATAGTGAGTTATCGTTAGACCTAGGAGACTTAGCTTACTTTCTAGGTATGGAGTTTGTAAACACAAAACATGAAGTTTATCTTGCACCAAAAGAAATATGCAAAAGATATCTTGAAGAACTTCTAGATGAGCAATTTCAACCCTGCAAATATTACCATGGAAACAACAATCAAATTAATGGACTCAAATGATGAATTGGTAAATAGATCTTTGTATAAGTAGACTATTGGTTCACTAAGGTACCTGTGCAACACTAGACCTGATATTTTCCCTAGTGTAAACTTGGTAGGCAAATTCATAGAGGAACCAAAATCATATCATTTACTTGCAGCTAAAAGAATCCTAAAATACATTGAATGCGTTACATACCATGAAATACTTATGTCAAATTAGAAGAACTAAAAAAGGGAGGCAAATGCATATGGCTATTTTGATTCACATGAAAGGAGACCAAGATGAAAAGAAAAGTACAAATGATTACTTGTTCATGATTGAATGATTTTCCAATCTTATGGAGCTCAAAGAAACAAGGGATAACAGTCATATCATCTCGTGAAGTAGAGTATGTAGCAGCATGCCAAGCATTATGGATTGATTCGTTGTTGGAAAAGTTGAATGTTAGTGAAGTTGTAAAGATCAAGATGTTAGTTGACAACAAGTCAACAATTTATCTAGAGAATCATCTAATGAGCCATGGAAGGAGTAATAATATAGAAAGAAAATATCATTTTCTAATAGACCAAGTTGGCAAGGAGAAGTTGGAGATTGAATACTACAAGACTTGGATACAAGTTGTAGATATTCTACGTAATTCAATAAAAAGATAATATTTGAAGGTCTCAAATGATTGATGGAGTGATAAGATTAGTTTATCTGAATTAGAAGGAGTATTGACAATGTAGTTCTGCTATAGTCGCAATTTGATAGTACTGTAAGTAAATGACTTGCAATACAAGCACATTGTTAGTTAGTTGATTTTTTGACTATATATACTCTTTACATACATTGTAATTCATAAACATCGAATAAATATTCTCTTTTCTCTAATTTCATTCTACCCTTCTTTAATTTTATATATTCTTCTTTTAAGTTAATTACTTGTGAAACATGTTATCCCAAGTTACTCTTAATGATTTGCTATATAGCTACATAGTATATCACTATTCACAAGTGTGGTAGTATATCACTATTCACAAGTGTGGTAAAAAGTGATACACAATTTTGACTTTTCTTCATATTTCTTTTTTTCTATTCAAAATAAATTTGGTTAATGGTGTGTAAAAATTTGATTAATACAATACGTAGTTTAGTTAATATATGTTTTGACGTTAAAAATTAATTTGGTTAATTTAGTATAATAATTAATAAGTTGATTATTATAGTTAATAATGTGGTTATTGAGTGTCTGTCATCAAAAAAAAAATCTTATATAGCAAATTAATTTTGGTTAATATTATATATAAGATTGGTTAATACAATTCATAACTCGGCTAATGAATTTTCAAAATTAAAATTTTTTTTATTAAAATAAAGTTGGTAAAGTAGTGTAAAGACTGATTATTATGTTTTATAATTTAATATTAGAATTTGGCTAATGTTATGCATTGTATTGCTTAATAAAGTATTGAAGTTAGTTAATAAATTATAAATAAAATAAATTATTAATAACTTATATATTTGTGGTCAATCCATTTCTGAACTTGATTAATGATAAAATTTTATATTTGTATTATAAAATAAAATAAAAAGAATATATATATATATATATATATATATATATATATATATATATATATATATATATATATATATATATATATATATATATATATATATATATATATATATATATATATATATATATATATATAATCGTACTTGACCAAAGAGATTGATGGACTGCCACGCGTCTGAGCTGTCGAACTTGCTAACTTGATGGGCAAGGGGGGAGTGTACTTGAAACACACTCTGATACTAAAGTAAGTGACGAGTAGAGTGATAACAAATACAGAGAGAAGAGTGAGAAAGTTAAGTTATCCGACCCTCTAGTGGAAGAGGGTATTTATAATGAGCCCCTGGCGCAGGGCCAACGATTACTCTGCGTTGGGTTGGGCTGCCAAGCCCAACGTAGGTAACTGTTAGGGCTGACGTGGCATCGTGAAGTCCAGCACGTGGTTTTCACCCTAGTGTAACTGTTTCGCACTATCAGGGAGGTGGAATACCGAATCTCCAGGGCGTGGGTAGTTACTTGGTGACGTGTCCCTGCGTGGGGGGCACGTAGAGAACGTGAGAGAGATCTGAGGAGCTCCCCGGACAGGCTGGTTTCTGCCCGATGACGAAGAAGAAAGAGGTTGGCCGGACAGCTACGAGGGTCCTGCCCGACGGGTGTTGGCCTGTGCCCGACGGAAGAGAATGTTGTGTTCGACGGATCTTCTGCCGGTCTATGAGGTCCTATTGGACCCAAATCCATTGGAGTTTGGGTCTATGAGGTCCTATTGGATCCAAATCCAGTGGAATTTAGGTCTGCTCGATTGTGGGTTAAGCGTCGACCCAGTCCAGAATATATATATATATATATATATATATATATATATATATATATATATATATATATATATATATATATATATATATATATATATATATATATATATATATATATATATATATATATATATATATATATATATATATATATATATATATATATATATATATATATATATATAATATAATATGCAATTCTATCTTATAAGAATAATTTATTAATTTTTTAAAGATAAAATCATAATACTAAAACTGATATTAATATTAAAAAAAACTCTAGAAATTACACAGGATTCTCACTTTTTCACTAGATAAATCATTTAGCCTGATTTTTTTTTACAGTATCAATTTTTCTTTTACACAAGAGTGTTTTTGAGCAACAGCAAACATTCTAAGCACTCTCAAATGTCATCCCTAATTGCAATTTGCAAATACTTGGTAAAAACAAAACAAAATCAATATTCCATCGCAAGGTAGAAAAACTGTTGCCGAATTCGATTATATGATCAAGAGGATTCAAAAATTGGATCCAGAACCGGATTCCATCTTCTTTGACGAACACAGTAAACGCCTCCGTCATTTTCCGTCACCTTCAACACCGGTGAAACTTTCGCCGTTTTACTTCCCTTCCTTTTCCCACTCCCTCTCTCCGCAATTTCAATCTCAAATTCAGAAGCCTTAGAATTCACCCTACTCACCGGCACCAGCAGGTAAACCATCCCGGCTACAAGCTCCTCATCGGCACGCAAGGCCGTGATCCGTCGCGTTTTAAGAAGCACCTCTGCCGGAGTGATGACGTGTCCGATAAGTTCAATCATGAGCTCAGCCGATTTCATAGGTAGCTTGATCTCACGGACGTTACCGCAAGTGTCTAAAAGGGTTGCGGTTTTCTTCTTAGCCTTTATTATTACTTTGTTATTGAAAATCTGAGAAGCAGTAGGGATGCAAGAACTTGTGTTACCCATGGAGTGTGTGTTAAAACTATAAATCAAATTGAAGAGATGAATATGCTTGTTATTTGTATTTGTGAGTGTTAGTGTAGTTATTTAAGGATTTATATAGTTTTACGGGTAGAAAATAATTTAATTGAGAATAAAAGTCAAAGAAGGGAATATTGAAGTGGATTTTGGCCTCCTTGGAGAACTAGTGTTAGAAACGCGGATCTTGTTCATTATCTAGCTGATTACTATGGGCATGTTTGATTTAGTTCTCAAAAACAGTTTTAAAGTTTTTAAAAATTTAAAAATTAAAAATCTATTTGGAATACTTTTTAAAACTTGTTTTTAAAAACTATTTCTAGTATTTTAGTTTTCAAAACTAAAAAACGGAAACAGCCTTAAACTGTTTTGTTTTATTTTTTTAATTTTAGTTTTTCTTCATATATTAATTAAAAATTGAAAACACACAGAGAAGAACTTGTTTTTATTATGGCACTTCTGTAAATATTTGAAACTTTTATTTTGTATTTTATTTATTTTATCAATTTTTGTTTCATTATTACATAGTATTGTTTTGTGTTGTATTATAGTGGGGCAAACATTGTATAAGGTCTTTTTTAATTGAACTCACGCCTTTTTTCAATAATTAAATATTAAATAGTATAATTATAATTTATAATAAATTGAAATTCTTACCTTGTAATGATTAATTTAATAAATAGTTTAGAAGTATAAATAAGTTGTTTTAAGTTGTTGATTTATAAATAATTAAAATTTTCATCCTTTTTTTATTAATAATAATTTATTTATCAAATAATATTTAACTAAATAAATATGTCTTTTAATTTATAAAATAATAATGAATACAATTATTGTTTGATTAAATTAAATCAAGCTTCATTTTTAAATAAATAAAAAATAAGTATTGTAGAGATATATTTATAAAGACCGCATTAGGCGAGACGAGTTGATCGCCAAAGTCTTGAGGGATCACTCGCAATATACATCATTCTTCTAAAGATAAGTGCCACTCATTCAAATAGAGCTGTCAAAAAAAAGTCTGACCCCTCGGGCCGACCCACAAATCCTATATTTTAGTGTGGTGGGCTAAAAAAAAAAAGCTTAAGAACACACGACCCTAATTTTTTGGTCGAGCCTAGAAGTTGGAGGTTTTTTCTTTACAAAAAACCTGCAATCTTAACCTGGGGCAGGGTAATTCTCAGTTAACTCGGTTGTGTGTTCATGCAAGACACCTTCCATACAAAGGTTGCAACCATAATTTTCCTTTGCACACAGCAAGCAAGTGTCGAAGATGTCCTTCAAGTCAAAATCCAATGACGGTTCACCGTAATCATTTAACCAGACAATCATTTTGTTTTTCAAAACAAAAAAAGTCAAAAATAAAAAGTCCGCTAAGTCAAAACCTATGAAGGAGACTTAGAAAAAACTGGGGTATCCCACTGACTATAATCTTCGCAAGAAATAGTTCAGGTAAAAGTTAGGGATAATAAAAAGAGGATATCTTTAAACCCTTCACCCTGAAAATCTTCAATGTAAAAAAAAAACAAATGTAGTAAGGAAGCAGTGACTGCCATCTCAAGAGTCCCTTGACTTCTGAACCATCATCACTATTATCAATATAATTCCTAACTTTTGGGAACCTGAGTGCATAGTCTGAGTTAACTGAGCGTATGAATGAAGATCATCACGTAGATTGGGTGGGTACAAATAAACTTTGAGCCTTTATCCTTTGCTTCATAAACTGTGAACCATATCAAGTTACAACCCTCAAAATACCTAACTGAAGCAAGGTTATTTTGAAAGAACACTACAACAAGGTTACGTAATCTGACTCCAAAAGATCTTTGGAGATCATTTGTTTTGACATTACCACTTTTGCTTTACTTTCCACTTTCCATGTTTTGAACCGTCGCGTTCTGACATGTGGCTCATATGTTTTGCATCTTTCAAAAATTATTTTAATTTCAAAGGTTGCATGAACTTTGCATCAACATGTTTGTATGAACACTTTTATTTGCAAACTGACTTTCTTCTAAGGAATTTTCAAACAGTTAAGAAACTTGGTCGGTGATCCTATCAGGGGCAAGCTCTTTTCACATCCTGTTGAAGAATCAGTTCAAGGTTTGTTGCTCAGTGTAACTCCTTCTTGGAATTGGTTTATCCAGAAGATCTTTCAAGACTCAAACTGGGGCAAGCTTTCCAAGCACACAGGAACACAGTCATTTCCAGCATCAGACAAGCTGAAGCAGTTATTAGTTCATCTACAACAGATAACTAATTTGGGGCAGTTTACTTGAAGAATTTTGAAGCAGCTCTCTGTCCTTCCTACAAGGATCATCAATTTGGTACAACTTACCAGTGTGACAAAGATATGTTCAGCAATGGTAGCATCTCCCCAAGCAGAATGACAGTGATATCCGTGTTGAAGAATCAACCTTTCAGTTTTGCCTTCTCCCCAAAAGAGTCAAGGCATGTCGTCGACATCTGAATATACATTGGCATTTGATCATATATCATCTGCGTAATTCATATACATTTGCATAACAAGAGTGTTTCATCCTTATTTGCATTTCTCCCGAGGTCGTGTTGTTATCCATGTCTTACCTTGTGGTCAAAGTCCAACTTGGCACCTACCAAACAGATTTCTCTTTGTGTTATCTGATGTTTTTCCAGATATTCCTGTGTTGTCTCTCTCTAATGTTTTACCAGATTGAGTCTTTTGTTCTAATGTTCCTCCAGAACCTATATGATATTTTTTTAGATATTCCTTTGTGATTCTGACGCTTTTCTAGAACATATCTGAGGTTTTTCCATATATGTTATCTCTCTGATGTTTTGCAAGGTTGAGTCTTTTGTTCTTATGTTCTTCCAAAACCTATCTGATGCTTTTCTAGATATTTCCATTGTGATTCTGATATTTTTCTAGAATCTATCCAAGGTTTTACCATATATGTTTGTCTCTCTAATGTTTTTTCAGATTGAGTCTTTTGTTTTGATGTTCTTCCAGAATCTATCTGATGGTTTTCCAGATATTTTCGTTGTGCTTCTGATACCATTCTAAAATTTGTTTTACTTCCTAGTGTTTTTCCAGGTATTTCCTTTGTAATTCTAATGCTTTTCCAGAATTTTATTTCTTTTTATCGTCTGATGTTTTTCTAGATGTGTCTGTAATTATGATGTTTTTCCAGAATTTCGTTTATGTTACCGTTTGGTGTTTTTCCAAATGTGTCTGTAATTCTGATGCTTTATCAGAATTTCATTTCTGTTATTGTCTGATGCTTTTTCCAGATGTGTCTGTAATTCTGATGTTTTTCCATAATTTCATTTCTTTTATGGTCTGAAGTTTTATCCAGATGTGTCTGTAATTCTGATGTTTTTCCCGAATTTCATCACTTTTGTCGTCTGATGTTTTTCCAGATGTGTTCATTATTCTGACGTTTTTCTAGAACTCTCTGTGTCTATCTGACGTTCTTCCACCTGATGTTTTTCTAGAACTCTCTGTGTCTATCTGACGTTCTTCCACCTGATGTTTTTCCTGAACTCTTTGTGTCTATCTGACGCTCTTTCGGATATGATCTTGTTTATTTGATGTTCTTCCAGATATGATGTTGCTTATCTGATGCTCTTCCAGATATGTCTTCAAAATTCATTTTTTCACGTACATTTAATGCTCTTCTAAATGTCTTTGATGTTTGTTATTTTTCAGAGTTCATTCAATGCTTTTCTGAATGCCTCTGAAGTTTACTAGAATGTCTCTCATGTATTTCTTAGAATTTCCCTCGCCTCATTCAATGATCTTCTGAATATTGTGACTCTTTTCTATCCAGTTCCATTCATGGATGATGACTGTTGATTCTCCAGTGGAGCTTATTCAATGTTATTCTGAATATCTCTGATGGTTGCCAGTTTATCTCGGATACCTGTTTTGTTCCAAAGTTCATCCAATGCTTTCCTGAATGTCTTTAGTGGTTGTCACTGTTCTTTTCCAAAGTTTTGTTCAATGCATTTCTGGAAAAATCCTTGATGACTGTAACCCTTTTACCAGTAAAGTTACTCCTACTTTCTGGATGTTTCTGATATCCCACAGTAAAGTCCAATGCTTTCTTGGAAGTCTCTATTTTTCTCAAATTTCTGGTCTTATTCCGCATCTAATTATCTTCTAGATGTTTCTGATTTATGTGTTTCTTTCAGCATCTGATACTTTTCTGGATGTCTGTGTATTTATTTAGGGTTTGTCCCTCTCTTTTCAAGTATTACTGGATACTCTTTGTCACCTTGACAGATGTCCATAATATTTTGTTTTCCTCAGTTGTGTCTCTTAGATACTTTCCCCTGTGAAGTTGTTAGTCTTTCCTCAGTGGAGTTGCAACATCTTCCCAGTATATATCCAGCCCCTGTGACATCTTCCCTCACAAGATCTTCGTCTCGTATTTCACATTGTATCATATCATAAGCATTTTTGTGGCATCTTAGGGCCAAAAATTGCGCATGTTTGTATTTAAGTCTCTCTTATCTCGTCGAGACGAAGATTTCAATCTTCACATCTCCAGATCGAAGAAACTTAAATAGGGGAATTTGTCACACCCTAATTTTTGACTCTAAGATCCCACATCTTTTTGCATCATCTGTGTTGTTTATCATGTCTTGCATCTTGCATAATACCCAATTTATAAGCTAAAATAAACTTTTTGGAATTACAGCCGAATCGATCAAATTAAAAGTCAACTGTGCGTAAAATTAGTGGAGAAAATATTTAAAACCGAGCTTGCAAACGCCAATGTATTAATCTATGTTTCACATGGTTTAACCTGGCGTGCTCATTTAAATTTTTCGATCACTTTTCGGTCACATTTTTGGACAATTTAAGCCATTTTAGCGGGTAAAATTTATTTCAAAATTTGACCAAATGCTGTATTTTTCAGAATCTTATATTTTACGCTGATCATTTTGGTGTATTCATTTTATTTTTCTGAGGACTTCGATGTCGGACCAATTATTCTTTTTTT